GGCAGTAGGTAGGGCCAAGGGTATATAAGAAATGCATCCCTTATATACCCTTGGCAGGGCGATCGGCTGGATGACGGCAAGTAGTAAAGGTGACGAGGCGCGTCACGTCTCGATCCCATCGACGTTGCACAAGCTTTTGGGTCAATGCCATGTATCCTTCCGTGTTTAATTGAAGCCGTTTGGGTACTTGGCACTCGTTAGTGATGAATTGCATTCGCCACTTGCGTTTCGTAGCAAATTCTTGCATTTGGTTGTCCGGCAACGCCGTCGGTCGTGAAACCGTTCATGTAACGGCTGCCGTTTCGGCGGGGAAACACTTGGCGCATGGGCTAGTGTCTGTGTCGCATCAGGTTACGCATGACATCCGTTCTTTTAAAAAACAGGCTAATTCGCACACACCTCTAGTCGCTGCCTCTAGTCGAACTTGCCAGGCAAGATCAAAGGGCTCAAGAAGGGTCTTGCTTGACACAGCAAGCGCGGCGAGGGTTGAGCCACAGCGACCAAGTGCGTTGTTGGTGAAGTGGGTCGTCTATTAAAATAGATACGTAAATCTACGCTAAATAAAATTGTCGGACTTTCTTCGTTGTGTGGGCGCTGGTGTTGATCTTGATCTAGGCCGGCGGAGGCAGGAGCGCGATCCGCGGGACAAGTTGCTGGTGCGGCCACTCGTGTTGAGCGAGGAGCCGGAGAAGGCGACGGAGAGCCATCTGCCCGCGACCAAGTGCGTTAATTTTCGTTGACAACGGGAACACGCCAGAGCTCTATCGCGACGCTATTGGGAGCGGCACTGATGTGCCCAAGCAAACGTTTAGTGCGGTCGTAGAATGTGCATGGAACGTTGCGAGCTTGAAGCATCATCACCATACCAAGGATTTACCCATAAAGATCGTTGTCACATTGGACGTCTGCGGAAGGTTATCCTCCACTACAATTTGCTGCCTTAGGCCGACTCGGCCTTGGCGGCTTCTTCTTCGGCCTTCTTCTTTTGCTCAGCCTCCCAGCGCGCTTGGAACCACGCGCCGACCTCGGCGTCGGTGATGCCCGCCTCGCCGACCTTCCACGCACCGAGGACCTCGTCGGGCTTGATCAAAATGCCATAATGGTGCTTGGCAACGACCGCATGCGACTCCTTCTCGACGACAATCACGCGCGGCGCCGCGAGCGTGTTGTACGGGTTGTCTTTGGTCATGGTCTTGTCGAGCTGGTACGCGGTCTCGATCAAGTTGGCGCTGTGTTTGAACGACGCAAACTCCGTCTTGGCGTCGTCCGCGTTTGCGTCCAAGCTGTAGTAAACCACCGAGACGTCGTCGGCGTTGGCCTTGGCGAACGCGGAAATGGCCGGCGTGAGCTTGTCCCCGTCCGCGTTGTGGGCCCACTTGGCGTTAAAGTAGAAGAGCACAAACTGCTTGAGCGAGTCGTAGCCGATCGGCGCGCCGTCCGCGTCCACGATCGTGTCGAGCGGGAGGTGCTCAACGATGTCGACTTCGGGCGCGTTCGAGGCGCGGGACCGGCTCCAGTACTCGTCTTCCTCTTCCTGGGTAATGTCTTGGCCGTTCTTCCATTGGTCGACGACCGTGTCCGGGAAGATGCGAATGCTCACGGCCGCGCGCTCGGTGAAGATCTTGCCCGAGTCGCGGTCGACTGCAAACATGGTCGGGATGCCCTGAATCGAGGGATACGCGACCTTGAGCCGCTTGAACGTCTCGACGTTCTCAGCGTGCCACGCAAAGCGGTTGTAGACGCTCTTGGTGCGGAGGTTGAAGGCCTGCATCTCGGGGTTGTAGTCGCGGCTAAAGTAGACCACCGAGACGTCGGTCGGGTGCTTGCTGACAAACTCGACGACCGACGGCGTCAGCGCGCGGCACGGCGGGCACCAGTACGCCGAGAGGAGGACGAGCACGATCGGGTTCAAGTCCGAGAGCGCCACCGGGTTGTTGTGGCCGTCGAGGAGCTCGCCGAGTGTGTTCTCCGCGCTGAAAAGGTTGGCCCAAAAGCCTTCGTGCGTCGTGGTCATTCTAGAGGTAAATTGAAAAGTGATGTGGTCGAAGAATTGCCCGTGGATTTGACACATCAACCAGCTGGTGCAACATGTCCTGGTTGGCGTCGTCGCGCGACAAACTTGGGTGCCGCCTACTCCATCGCAGTGGTTCGGAGCTCTACGGCGCCTGGAGAGATGAGCAGGATGCTAGCGGCTCTGTCGCATCGTCTTGAGGACAGTGCCGTGGATCCAGCGAGGTGAGGGCTCGAGACGAGTGGAAACAATAGCTTTTCGTGCCGTGCACGACTGACCCTTGGCGGGTTCTGGGTGCGATGGCCAGATCTGGTTTGCATCTGGTTTCTAAAACGAGGACGAGATCAAAGTATTGCATACAAATAGTCATATAGGTACCTTTTTTAAAGAGAAGACCGTGCGGGTCGAGTTGTCAGCCTCGGAGTGAGGCACGACGGCGTCGAGCCTATCGCAGTCGTCTGCGACCATGCGCTGTCCGGTCCACCCACATGGCACCGTCTAATTGGTCCATTCTCATCTGAGTCAGCCCAACGGCAAGGTGGCCTTTCTTGGGGCTTTTTCACTTTTTGAATTCTAGAACGAAGCACCGCTTCAACACACGACCATCATCCCTTCAGTACATTGACGAGCTAACAAGTACGAGCACCCAAGTCCGTCGAGTAAAAGCTGTCGCCAACTAGACCCATCTCTGCAGGATGGACGTTGATTCCGAGCCCCGCAACGTTGGCTCATACCGCAGGGCTGTTCGGTCAAAAGGCATGATAAACCACACTTGGGGAAGGTGCGGTCCGTTGGTCGGCGGTTCGATACCAACGCCCCCTCACAATATATGCTCTGTGCAAAGACCTTGGACGCTTTATTGGTGCGGAGCCAACCGCGCATTGGACGTGCAGAGAGTTTTCAGCACCGCGTCGCAAAGAAGACGCCAGAATCGAACGTCGGACAGGTCCTTTGGGAGATTGATTGGCTTCGTCGATTTGTATCTACTGTATTTCCGTGGACGGTTGATAAAATTCAAGCCAGTTGCAAGACACAATCGACAAAATATTCTTTGATAAAACCAAACTTATTGTTGTCATCACATTGCTACATTTGTATTCATCGCAAAGCCGTTGGCGCAAGGCCGTGCTTCACGGCAGCTGCGTCAAAAGACACGTACCCGCGCATCTTCCAGGTCGCTCCCCAAAGAAACGGCACGGGCGCCGAGAAGGCAAGAAGCAAGAAGGCTCCTCGGACACCACGTGGCGGTGACGTCGACGTTGCAGGTGGCGTCGTCGGCATGCTTTCGACCAATCAGAGACGTCGACGTCTCAAAGGTCGCGGGCGGCTGCGTTCGGCGTGTCGTCCGACGGCCGCGTCGTGAGCGGCTTCTGCGCGAACACGAGCAGCGAAGGAAGATGCTGCCTTTTACGAGGACGTATCGAGACGAGTTTCAGGACCTAAAGCTTGTCATCGATAAGAATAAATTCAAGTTAGCAGTTATTAGGTTAAGGTACAACTAGAGCCGCAAGCGGCCCATCGGCATTGTGGCAATAAAAAAATCGAGCGAGTCCTCGAGCGACACAGCACTCGCTTGGTCGCTCGATACGAGGCTGTTGGGGGCCAAGGCCGCACCGGCCGCGCTGTGAAAAGGGATCGGTGTCACGGCCGAGACGTGGAGACTCGCGGCCTGCTTGCACCGGTTGGAAGCCGCCGACGTCGGTTCCGAGGCGTCGTCGGCGGCGAGCATGTTGTGTTCTCGGAGCTTCCGGACCATCTTTTCTTTGCATTTTTGCATGTGCGTTTGCGACTGCTTGGCGGTGCGCGTCTGAACGATCTCAGCGATCGCCTTCCACGGGCCTTGGGGAAAGAGCTGGAGGCCAATGAGGAAGCGCTCGTGCTCTTCCTTGCGCCAGAGGCCTTGGGCGTGGTGCGACGTCGGCTTCTTCTTCTTCTTGAGGCCAGGTCGACGGGCGCTAGTACGAGCGGAGCTGCTGCTCATGATGGACTGGCGGCTCGTCTCTGGCAGTTGGAGCATCACGGCAAATGCAGAAATGCCGACGAACGGCGCAAACATGGGATTTTGTAGAAAGGCAACCTGCGTCGGGCTTGTGTTGATGGCCGCGTCGGATGTGAATCTTCCTTGATCTTGATTAAACTATGGAGTCGAATCTAACGCCATGACCATGGTGGAAGCTGCATCAACAAGGTGCGCCCATGTCACATGCTTGTACATTCCCGATGTGCCAATGTCCATGATTGGTTTAGAAAGAACCACCCGGGTGAACGATTTGTACGAGACGTGGTAACATCCGACGTACGACACCGGCCACATGGCAAGCAAGGAATTGCCCACCATAGATCGCACGTGCAGCAGTGTGGCCAAGCGCCTGCTGCTACGGCACCTACAGAATTGGGTGAAGGAGACAAGTACTGTGCTGACCTTGTCTTCTCTACGCACCATCGACGATTAGGGCATTTGCGTGGGGCAAGGACGAGGACAGTTTTTTCAACGGAGGGCACGGTTGGGGAGCGAATCTTGGATCAGGTAGAGTTGATTTTGAAAGTAGCTCTGCCAGCATCACGGTAGCTGACGTCAGTTTGCTCTTTGTCGATGGAAGACCATTCCTCGTAGGTACCGGAATGTACCGGTATGCGCAGATTCGATACTCGGTCAACGCGTTGCGTGAACAGCAAGTAAGCAGACAAAAATCTTGTTTAATATATAATTGCATGTTAAGAACTCATTTCAACAACAAAAACCTTGTGGAAAAACAAACAGACGACCGCACACATGCGTCATCATGGCACGTTTACGGCCACACGTGCGCGGCCTCGAGACGTGCAGCAACGTGGGAGGATTGCGAGTCGGAAGTTATTCAATAGCGTCGAGATTCGCATTCAGGTTCAACACGTTTATGTACACGTGCGACCGACCGAGGGATTACTTTTTCGGCCGCTCCTCGTTGTCGTGGTCAACACATCTGCGTTGCAATGTCGACGGCCAGGTGATCGGTCGAAAAGCTGGGAAGACGGAGTTGATACCACATTCTGGTTGCTAGTGTGGTGTGAGCTTAACGTTGCAGCTGGTGTGGCGGCGCCGACCAGAAAGTGTTTGTATTCACATTGTGAATCGTCATCGAAAGACAACTATGGGTTTCAAACCGCAGTTTCGTCGACCAGTTGAAACCGTGGCATCATGGCACTGGTGACGGTGCGCCGTCGGTCTAGTCGACAAAAAGCATTGATAAAGGTCTCAAACCGCACGCTTTGGCTTTGTGCTGGTGCACCGGAAACACTTGGCAATCCAGTCGACTGCCAGTCGTCATCCGAGTAGCGAGATTGAATGGCCTCGAAATGTGTGTCTTCCAGGTCACGTTGCCGTACCGACGGACATGACCTGCCGTTGTAGACACTGGCCACTACAGTGGCCTGGCGTGGGTGGGCCAGGGAGTAGCAGCGACCCGATGAAAACGTGCTCTCATCGGTAAAACTTGCTGGGGCACGGAGATACGAGCGTCCAACTCCTTCCAAACTCGACGAATGCAGCCAAAGTTTATTGTCCCATATCGGCGTGCTGTCAGACGAGTACTGTACGCTCGAAACACGAATCGAGAGCTTCCAACTGGAAATCCACAAAACGGTAGTAGATCCAGTAGAGCGTGCACATTTTGGACTTTTACGGATAGACTCAGATATTTCGGATGCACGAAACCATCCCAATGCCGTTCCTAAACGCTGCAATTCGCACCGAAGCCTCGGGTTTTGGATTACTAGTACACGATGTTCATGCCAGGTTCGGCATCCGCTACCTGAGCTGCTGTACTTGCCCGCGTGTCATTCTAACGCATGTGCTAGAACTATACGAGTACGTATACATGTAGTTCATATAGATGGGTGCTGGTCGAATGAGCCATTGACAGCGACCCTCGGTATTTTTGGCGCCACCGCAAGGCAGATTGTCGTCAAGTGGGTGGTAGTACTCGAGTAAATGCTACCGACTAAAGTTTTCACAACGTACCGCTATCGTTCTTTAGACAGTGGTTTTGTGCTCACATCGTTCATCGTGTCTCGCAACACCTTACGATACCAGGCAGTGCGCGCATCGATGCTGGTGGTCGCCGGTTCGACGATCAGGGCTTCCTTTACGGCCGTGTTACGGACGCGCTACGCTGCACGCGCTCAGGCGAAGCATCGTTTCTCCCTACGATAGCCAGCAATACGTCGTCACTGTATTTGAGACGCGGCTGTTTCTTGTCGACTCGACGCATTGTGCCACGACTGCTTTTGGCGCCGCAAATGCATGAAAATCGCGTGCAAGGCTATAATTGTCGCCTGTACAGGATAAAAGAACACAACTTAACACACACGGATTAAGCCCCGAAACAGTGTCTAAACACTGGATATTCATGAAACCGCCCAACAGCATTTCGGCATCGGGCATGGCGTACGACGCTACCAGTACTGTAGCGCTTGGTGGCTCCACAAGCATGTCATCTCGTTCAGAGAAATGCCATGACTGCACATTACTACTACTGCTCATCGGCGACTGACCCCTGGTCTGCTTTGACTGCTGTTTTCGGTGAGAATATTCTGTTTTAGGATACAGTATCTCGAGAAAGCGTGGCTGACGATGGATTGAGGTGTTAGGTTGTAGCCGAGTCAGCGAGTTAGGAACTGGTATACGTCAGACGCAAAATTAACATGGTCGAGTCAAATCTCTCAGGTATAGTCCATCTCCAATTCAATGTACAAGTTGTCTTGTATGAAGTGCGCTCACGAGCCATACGCGCACTTTATCCGTCTGGCGGCGGCAATTGTTGATTTGCCACCTTCGGAGACCGCTGTCGGAGTCCATGGTCCGACGGCGGTTTCCGAAGGTGGCAAGGTCGGAGTCGTCGTCGCGAAGGAGCACCAACTGTCGCAACGCTCGGGTCTTAGGCATACAGAATATAGATTGGTACAAATACACTGCAACTCAACTTGTCATCCCCATACGTCCCAACGAATCAATGTGGCGGCTCTGCTCTGCTGGATTGATGATTGCGTCGGACCAGGGTTGGCAATCGGTATAAAAACGCGAGGCTTCTGCATAAAGGTCGTTACAAGTTACTATCCCTTTTGCACAGCGCTGCTTTCCTCGATCGAAGGCGTCCTTGACGCTTGACGCGACTACCGTACACGGATGTAAAGCCACCAAGGTGGTGTCTCGTGCCGTACACGGCGATACATGGTCCATAGACAGGGCTCGCTGCCGCCAGATCTCAGAGGGGAGACTAACCATTTAAAATCTATACAAGCGTGAAATCCATTTCTTACCTTTGGCTTCTATTTTCGCTGGCATTTTATTCCTTCGAGAAGATTCTTACAATTACCAAGATACATTTAAAAATTAAAATAAATTGCAACGGACAAGCGCACCAATCGGTGTCTACCAGGTGCCATTTTGTCATTTGGGATCAACTGCGATGCAGCTCGCTCCCGACGACGGCGACGATCGGCTTGACGTCTACCCTACCAAGCTCGCATTGGCGCCGAGCCTCTTACTTCCAGCCGCCTCAGCGGCCGCGCAGCTCACGTGGACGCTGCTGCTGCACCACGCGGTGCGCACGTCGGCCGACCTCGCGACGGCCTTTGGCCTGCTACCGCTGCTCTTTGTCGCCGGCGGGCTCCTCGCCTATGCGCGCCAGGCGCCGACCGGTGCGCGCCACACGCCACATGCGATCGGACAAGGCGTCGTGCTCTGCGTCCTCTTCTTACTGCGCATGCACATGCTGCACTACTGTGGCGTGGCGTTCACGTCGCTGGTCGAGACGGCGCACCTCGCGCTCTCGCCCACGGACCTCTCACGCCATGGCACACGAAAGGCGGGCGTCGCGATTGTCGGGGGCTACACACTCGCGCTTGCCTTCTCGTCCGCGTCGACGCACCCGCCCTCGCTGCTCTTCCACCTCGCGCTCTGCCTCGCGTCGGTGCTTCTCCAGCATGCATATGCGCACTGGAACGTGTCGTCCAGTTCATCTCGTGGTCATGGCGTTGTCTTTGGTGCAGCTGCAATCACGGCAGCGCTGTCGACGCGGCTCTTTGGCGCCTACTTTGTCACGCCGTCGGTCTTGCCGCGCGCCGAGTCGGCCGCGCTCTCGCCGTCGACGATTGCGCTGCTGCTAGTGCTTGTAAGTGTCCTTGCGCTACCGCCGCTGGTCCCGCATCTCGTATACGACACGCCTCTCTCGGTGCACTCGAAGCACAATGCGATGGCACGCCTCGTGCTCCAGGTGCCGTTAACGCTCGGGTCGTTGGTCGCGCTGCCCATCTCGCTGCACGCCGTCATCCACGCCATGCTGTCGCTCAGTGCGCTAGTTCCAATCCTCTGGGGACTCTACCTCGCGGCGCCGTGGCGGTTGCCGTCACTGCCGACTGTCGGAAGTCCCGCCGCACGCACCATTTTTCTCTTTCTAGCAGGCAACATGGTCTACATGGTCGTCGAGTTTGTCGTCGGGTACTCCACCAACTCGCTTGGGCTCTGGAGTGACGCGGGCCACATGCTCTTTGACAATATCTCGCTTGTGATTGGCCTCTGTGCGGCGACAGCGTCGAGCTGGCCGGCCAATGGCCGCTTTGGCTTTGGCTATGGCCGCGTCGAGGTGCTCTCGGGCTTTGTGAATAGCATTTTGCTGCTGCTGATGGCTGGGCACTTTATGGCAGAGGCGATTGCGCGCTTGACATCGCCGCCAGAGGTGCACACGGAGCACTTGCTCGTGACGTCGATCGGTGGTCTGGCCATGAACGTTGTCGGGCTCGTATGGTTCCACGACCTCGCGCACGGTCACAGCCACAGCGACGGCGCCTCGTGCAGCAACTCGAACCTCGTCGGCGTCTATTTGCATGTACTTGCCGACACGCTCGGCAGCGTCGGCGTCATTGTCTCGTCTCTCTGCATTGACGCCTTCGGCTGGCTCTATATGGACCCGCTCTGCTCGGGCCTCATCTCGGTACTGGTCGTCGGCAGCACGCTCCCGCTCCTCAAGGCGACCGCGATTGAACTCCTCCAGGGCATCCCGGCCGAGACGGCAGGCCAGCTGGCGCGCGCGACGCGGGATGTTGAGACGCTGCCGGGTGTTGCGTGGGTTGAGCCAGCTCGCGCTTGGCGCCACGGACCCAAGGGCTTTGTGCTCACGATGCAAGTGGGCGTCGTCGACCACGTCGACCACGGGCTGCTGCTAGAGGCCGTGCACGCCGCGCTTGTCAATGGCGTCTCGGACGTGGCCGAGGCGACCGTGCAACTGGTGTCGCACCGCGGCCTGCCAGTGCCAACACCACGAACCGAAGGGTGCTGCCACGACCATGATCATGACCATGAGCATGATCATGACCATGATCATGGTCACCACTAGATACGTAGATTGGACCCTAGATAATATTTTTTCTTAATTTATGTGGCTAAACAGCGCAACGTTGGACGCTACAGTCTACCTGGCTGCACTGGAGTTGTACTGCGCTACTGTACACCTTTGGTGTCGTCTTGCATTCACAGGACGATCACCGCGCCGTCCAAATTGGCCGATATGTCCCTGACGTGTGCCAAGTATCAAGTTGATACACCAATGGAGGTTCATTTTGCCGAGGATAACCCTTCACATAGGTTTCCGGTTGCGTTAATTGCTGGTCAATATCGAGACGCCGAGAATCGTCTCGAGTGGTCGTAAGAAGAAGCAAAGAAGCGGATCCAAGTCGCACATCGGCTCGTCGAAGCTCATTTAATGACGCTGCTCGATCTATGCAGCGCGCGAAATTATGAAATTTTGTAATATTTGGCCTTCTTGCACAGCTCGTACTTGTGCAACTGCAAGACGATGGCATCACGGCCCATCATCGACCTGGGCCTCGTAGTCGTTGATGATGGGTCTTTCGATGTGGCGCAGGCGCAGGCACACGGCCTGTGCATAAAAACGCGCACGAGGTGGACGCCAGCTTCCCGCGAGATCTTTGGTCGGCACAGCGCTGCAACGTGGTGACCGCTCATGCTTATTTGCTCGGAGAATCACGTCTGATTGGTGCGACGTGGCGGCGGCTGCTGCAAGGAATGAATATGGGTGCAGTCGTGAGTAGACGTTGGGTTTGACGCATGCGGGTGCGTTAAACGAGTTGGAGCGGGTTGAAGTCGCGGAACCAATCATGGCGTTTGTCCCGCAAACAAGAAACAAGGCATTTCAAATGCCACCCTTTTCAAAAGACTATTATACATCGAATGCACCACATAGCCGCGGTTGCGCACGGGGAAATATAGAAAACACTTGCCTTATATCAGTCGAATCCGACCACGACGACGCAACCCAGAACACTGCGTGCACAGCATAAATAGCTACTCTTCGCGGCGGTAGCTCCGATCGGTGGCAAACATACGTGGCGCTTTTTTGGGGCGTCGTGGCGCTCACGAACGCATCGCGCTCCGACATAGACGCTGCTGTGGCACGCATCTCAGAACTCGTCGCATGGGATGCGCCAAGAAAGCTCGGATGATTGCGAGGGGTTATTCAAAGCCCCTGTCCCTCGAGATCTCAAGCGCCAAAGAGCGTAAGATCCAGGGGCACGCGATGTGCCACCCGCTTGACGACGCCGAGCGAAATCGCGTACGTTCCAACAACGTCGCGTCGCTTTGGTGCCTCACCGCGTCGGTGCTCTGACACGACGTTCTCTCTTATCAACAACGGATTTTGCAGGCAACAAGGATCAGCGTGTCGACGCCAATGGCCCCTCCAGTCAACAACCACGTACAAAATGTATTTTACGCAATCCAAACCTCTCCATTCAACCTATTCAACCTATAAATCCTATAAAACCTATTCAAACGTGGCGCCACTTTTACGCAAAAAAGCGCTCCTCGGTGTCGTCGGCCGCCGAGACAAACGTCCAGAAGTAGTCGAGCGCCTCGGTCCACGTGATCTTGTGGCCGTCGAGCGGCTGCGTGCTGCTGAGGACGGCGGCGGCCGGCGAGTCAAGCGGAATTGGCTCCACGGACGCAAAGCGCAAGTTGTCGGCGTGCTTGGACCGCCGCAGCAACACTGGGTTCGCTGTCGCCGCGGCTGCCGCCAAGCGAATCACATCGTTCTCAGCATGTTGGTCGTCGAGAATGACGCCACGGAGCACTTCGTCGCGTCGCCGCCGATGCCGGAGGATCTTTTCTTTGCATTTTTGCATGTGCGTCTGCGCTTGCTTGGCATTGCGGGTCTGGATGATGTCGGCGACGGCTTTCCAAGGACCTTCCGGGTACAGCTGGATGCCGACAAGGAAGCGCTCGTGCTCTTCCAAGCTCCAGAGCCCATGGGCGATCACGGGCTTCTTGGACGGTCGTCCGACCGCCTTGCGCGGCTTGACGTCGTCGGTCATCGGGTCGTCGACGTCGCTCGGTGTCGTGTCGAGACTGCTGCCTTGGCGGTGGAGCTCGACCTTGGGGACCATCGACTGTTGGGATGTCATGCTCGACGCAAAAGTGCAAATGACGGCGGATGATCCACCTGTTTTGCCGATATTTTTGCCGGCTCATTTGGCTGCGTAGACACGCAACGCACACAAGTGCCGTCGATAGATAGTAGATGCTGCGGTTGCTGTTGCGCAGAAATGACACCTGGTTGCCACAGTGGCTCTTGACCGATGATGGCACGGCCACGAGAGCAACAACGCGATGCGATTTGTCCGCCGGCTACCTCGTACGCATCATCCGACGACCTGTCTGGCGCGCCCTTCTTGATCCGAGTCAACATATAAGCTCCAAATACTTGCGGACGATACAAAAACGAGATCAAAACCAATGAATCCAGTGTCGCCGGCGAGTCCTTTCAGCCCTTTCAGCACTGTGAAGTGGCGAGTGTGTAGACCGATAGACAAGCCCTTGATTGCGGTCATCAATGTATCGTGTATTCCCGAATATCATGTCGTCAGCCTACTAGGCCGGACACCAACCACATCGATAAGGTACTGGTTCTAGGCCCGTCGATGGATAACTCGACGTCCCACCCTATCGCTCCTGGGCGCTTCTTGTGCGTTTCTGCCAGGACGGCGTCCGACGGCAACTGCAATGAGCACATAGGCAAGTGGCACTGGCGTGCACGCGACGACGTAACACGGACTGCGACACGCCCTTGAACTTTCCACATAACGACCGTCGGTGGTGAAAGCGCACCCATGGATACGATCGTACGCGACGAGCCTGCAAGTCCAGAAGTCCGTCGACAGCCTCACTACAGCATGGTGTACACTCTCGAGGCTTGGCAGAGTGGCTTGTCTGCACTTTTGTTTCGATGCGCAGGCAGCAAGTGGTCGCAGCCAAAAGCTCGTTGCAAAAGGTTAGATAATCAGATACTCTGTCGTCAAGTGGGTCGAACATCGCCCCAATGGCAATGACGTTACGGGATCGATCCACTCACTTGGCGCGCGAGAGCGCATGGCGCAACGCGACGCGCAGAGTGCGATGCGCAGTGCGCTTGGCGTTGCACCGCAGAATACTGAAAGGAATTGAAACTCTAGTCGTTTTTTCGAACCTTGGTATCTTTGGTGTCTTTGGTGCCACATGTCTCGAAGTTTGGATCGTGATAAGAAATTGTGCGGATGGCGTGCGCAGAGGCTTTCTAGTATCGTGGATAAACTGTCACGTTGCACTTCAAATAAAAGTGAAATTAGTCGAATTTGACGCGGCATTGTCGACTTTTGTCGGATTCGACCTTGTCGACCAATCTGACCCGATCGACTTGCCAGTCGCAAACAAGATAAACGAGAGCGTTCGAGCAAAAATCGCGCGCGAG